AATCAATTGGTTGCCTCCTGTATGCATCCTTATCAGGGCTCAGGTCCAGCTGGGGAGGAGTCTGCAACCAAGGTACGTGCCTTTGACCAGAGTCAAACCTGGTATCCTTTGGTCTGCAGGCCAACACTCTGTCCACTGATCCAAACTGGCTAAGGCTGTCCTATTCTTTTAACTTAATACTTCCACCCTTTAAAAAGTTATTTCTAAAATTTTAACTGTCATACCTTGTATACCTTAAACTTTCACAATGTTATATGTTAATTATATTGCAACTAGAGGCCCAGTGCACAAAATCATGCATACCTTAAACTTTCACAATGTTATATGTTAATTATATTGCAACTAGAGGCTCAGTGCACAAAATCGTGCACGGAGGACTGACTGCTGCGGGATCAGGCCTAAACCAGCAGTTGGACATCCCTCTCGCAATCCGGGACCACTGGCTCCTAACCACTGGCCTGCCTGTCTGCCTGATCTCCCCTAACCACTCACCTGCCTGCCTGATCACCCCTAACCATTCTGCCTGCCTGTCTGATCACCCCAACAACTCTGTCTGCCTGCCTGTCTGATCACCCCTAACAACTCTGCCTGCCTGCCTGATTGCCCCTAACTGCCTCTGCCTGCCTGTCCGATCACCCCTAACCACTCTGCCTGCCTTCCTTCCTGATCACCCCTAACTGCTCGCCTGCCTACCTGATCGCCCCTAACTGCCTCTGCCTGCCTGATCGCCCCTAACTGCCCCTGCCTTGGCCCCCGCCACTGTGGCTTCATCCGAAGGACATCCGGAATGATGTCCAGAAGGTTGTTCAGCTGTCCGGTCTAATTAGCATATTACGCTTTTATTATTATAGATAAAGTTTGAAAAAATTAAAAGGTCTGCAACATTAATAAGTCCATTACTTAGCAAAATAAAATAGGACTTTCTTAATAGATTCCTCATGTACAAAAAATAAAAAGTTAATTCTAACATACTTGTGTCCTGAGGTCGATGAATCAAGGGTATATTTTGTTGAAAAAGTTTTCTTAAAGCTTTGCTAAGATAACAGCTTGTATACTGAAATTACTGATAAGTTAATGTGAAGAGTCATACAGCCTATAGCCTTTTGAACATAGCTTCTTTCACTTAGGGTATTAATTTAGAGAATCACCCAAGCTGTTATGTGTACCCTCATTCATTTCTTTTTATTTCTGGGTAGTTTTTCACTATATAGATGTATCACAGATTGTCAGTCCATTTCTCAGTTGAGGGATATTAGAGTTGTTTGCAGTTATGGGTGATTACTAATAAGCTGCTATAAAGATTCATGTTCAAGTTTGTGAGTGAACATAGCTTTCATCTCACTTGGGTAAATACCTGGGAGTGAGACGGATGGATCATATAGTATTCTCTTTTTTTAAATCTTTATTGTTGAAAGTTTTACATAGGTCCTCATTCTTCCCCCATTAGCCTTTTCCAGCCTGCTCCCATTCCCCCTGCCCCACCCACCCTCACCACCCCATTGTCTGTGTCCACAGGTTATGCATATATGCATACAAGGTCATTGGTTGATCTCTTCCCACCCACCCTCCAAAAACTGCCAAGCTATTTTCCAAAGTGGCCCTATCATTTTGCACTTCCACCAGCCATGTATGAGAGTTTCATTGTTTCTGCATCCTTGCGAGCCCATGAAATTGTCTCTCTTTTTATAAGGTGTCAAATAAGTATAGTATAGTTGTATCTTATTGTGGTTTTAATTTGCATCTCCCTCATGACTAATGATCCTGAGCATCTTTCCTTGTGCTTATTTTTCATCCAGATATTTTCTTTGGTGAAGTATATGTTTAAGTATTTTGCCCATATTTTAAATGCATTGTTTGTTTTCTTATTATTGGGCTTCAAGGATTTTTATAATTCTAAATACAAGTCCTTTGTTAGGCATGTGATTTGTATATATTTTTCTCCCTGCCTGTGACTTTCAAATAAAAGTATTCTTATTTTAAATAAAGTCCTATTTGTTCTTTCATGCACTGTACTTTTGTTCTTTATAAGACAGCATTACATATTTAAGGCTACACAATTTTCTCCTTTGTTTTAAAAAAAAGTTTTAGAGTGCTAGGTTTTACATTTATATTTGTGATCCGTTTTAAGTACTTTTTGTATAGTATGAGGTGAATGTAAAGATTTTTTTTTTGCATATGGGTATATGTAGTTGTTCCAGCATTATTTATAGTTGGAAGGACTGTCCTTTCTTCACTAAATTACCTTTCCACCTTTGCCAGAAACGAATGGGTCATATATATGTGTAAGATGATTTCTGTATTCTTCCTTTCTGTTCCATTTGTCTCCGTGTTTATTATTCCTTCAATACCACTCCTTTGATTACTGTAGCTTTATAGTAAATCTGGGAATCAAGTATGTGAATTCTCTAACTTTGAAGAGAATGTGTATTCTGCTGTTTTTATGTGGAATTCTCTCAAATTGCCAGTTAGGTTAATTTAGTCGAAAGTGCTGTTCATGTCTTCTGCATCTTTAGTGACAATTTCTCTACTTTTTTCTTTTTATTGATTGTTAACAGTGTGCTTTGAAGTCTCCAACTATATTAGTGGATTATTTTATTTCTCATTTTGGTTCTATCAGTGTTTGCTTCATGAAGTTTGAAGTGCTATTGTTGGGTGTATACACAATTATAGTTGTTATGTCATCTTGGATAATTAAGTAATATCTCTATCTCTGTTCTGAAGTCTAGTTAACCTAATATTAGTATAGCGATTCCTGATTTATTTTCATAGTGTTTGCATGGCATCTCTTTCCTATCATTTTATTTTTAACCTGTTTGTGACTTTCTATTTATTTCTTTATTTAAACTTTATTTTTATTGTTGACACTATTACAGATGTCTCCATCTCTCCTCCTCTGCTCCTGTCCCCACTTCCCTCTGGCCATCACCACACTGTTTTCTGTGTCCATGGGTTATGCATATATGTTCTTTGGCTAATCCCTTCACCTTCTTTCATCCAGTCTCCCCTATTCTCCCCTCTGACAGCTGTCAGTCTGTTCCATGTATCTAGGACTCTGGTTCTATTTTGTTCATCAGTTTATTTTGTTCATTAGATTCCACATGGTTTCCTATACACAGCCTATAGTTTGGTTTTGATTTTTCAATCTAATATAGCCATCTTTTTTTTTTCAAATGGAAATGAAAAAAACAAGCAGGGGGTACCATTTTTTTAATTGATGTGTTTATAAGGTTTAAACTTAATGTAATTATTAGTATGAGTTAATTAAAATCCACCACATTATTAGCTTTTTTATTTTTAATCTCTTAATTAAAAATAAATAATATCATACTACTGAAATAATACTATACTACTTAAAATATAGTATAAGTACAATACTTGTATCTGTCTTGTTCTCTTGCTCTCCTATTTCTTTCCCCCATTCTTTATTTTTTATTTTATTTTTTTATCTTTCCCCCATTCTTTATGCTATTGTTGTCATGCATTTTACTATTACATATGCTGTAAACACAATGCATTGTTAATATTTTGGCTTTAGATAGTTGTCTTCTAGAGCAATTAAAAATACAATGAATTATATATTTACCCTCATTTATTCTATTTCTAGAAAATTTTATTTCTTTATGTATATGTTATAGCTTAAATGTTGAAATTTTTAAATCTGTTAGCATTTACAATACCAATTCCTGACTCCTCCTGACTCTATTTAAAATGTATAGTGTGTAGGCATCTGTTTGACTTGTATACTTCTGTTCTGCTTAAAATTTCAAAACCGTAGGACTGTATATATCATAAGAGGTTCTTCAGCTTAATCTTCAAAGTCTGACAGATTTACTTCAACTGACCTTATTTTAAGATTTATCTGAAGTTCTCCTTCCTGAGTTGAGATTTAAACCTGCTTGTCAGTGAGTCTCTTTGTATCTGTCTTGTTCTCTTGCTCTCCTGTGTGGAGAGGGAGCATCGGGATCACACTGTCCTGCTTTTTAGTATTCTGTCAATAACCTGGCACCTACATCAAGTTAGGTATTGAGCCCCTTTTTACCATTTTCTTTTATAGGTAATACAACAACAACAACAACAAAACCCAAAAAAACATTCTGTACTCCTTAAACCTTTTTTAAAAATATATTTTTTATTGATTTCAGAGAGGAAGGGAGAGGGAGAGAGAGATAGAAACATCAATGATGAGAGAGAATAATTGATCAGCTGCTTCCTGGACACCCCCCACTGGGGACTGAGCCAGCAACCCAGGCATGTGCCCTGACTGGGTATCAAACCATGACCTCTTGGTTCATAGGTTGACGCTCAACCACTGAGCACACCGGCTGGGCTCCTTCAAGCTTTTTTCCCCTTTATATCTTTCACCATTTTAAATAGTATTTTCTCTTGAACATTTCACAGAACCCTTTTCGTTAGGGCATGTGAAATAAGTAGTAGCAGTATTTACCAACACAAAGGAGCCAGGATCTCTGTAGGACTAACACTGGCTCTAGGAGAATGCCAGGGCACCAAGTGGTGTAAATTCTCAAAGATCCCCAGCTCCCTTGCCAAGTAGTGGAGACTGTCCTGACCCTTAGAACCAAGGGCTGAACTTAAATCCCCTCACTGAAGCCACCATGCCTCCCTTTACTCCAGACTCATACTTTTAGGAAAGCTCAGGGGTTCTCAAGTTGAGTGGATAGGCACCCAACAAGCCATTCTCCCCTGAAGGCCTAGTTTATTCCAGAGCCACTGACTGCAACAGCTGTAAACATGTTGTTACTTGTGTAGGGGTGGGGCAAAGGAAAAGAGCAGACCAGAAAACCTCGGACTTTTTTGGAGCCAACTATATTCAGTTGCAAGAGAAAAAAATACTCGCAACAGTTGGGCGGGTTCTATAGTAGAACTTATAAACAGTAGTCAACTATGAGGGTAACTGCAAGAGATACGTATTTTCAAGGTTTCCCCTTTATTGCATGTCCAGAGCATAACATTTTCTTTTTGTCTCTTTCCCCCTCAAGGGGTGCTACATCCATTGTGTACAGATGCAAACAGAAGGGGACTCAGAAGCCTTATGCTCTCAAAGTGTTAAAGAAAACAGTAAGTTTATTTCGTTATATATACTAGCATCACTAAGGGATCTGTTACCTGAAGAAGCCAAACGCCCTGATTCCAAGGGCAAAGAGCCACTTTGTTGCAGTTAACTCATTTGCATTTCAATTATGAGGGTGCAACCAAATGGGTTGTTTGTTGTCTGATGCTGCTTGTGACTCTGAAAGCAGCTGGATCTCAGATTGGATGTGGGGAGGAGAAGGGTGGAAAGGAAAAGCATGTAGAGCTGGCAGGGGAACCTTGCTTGGTGTATCAGTCATGATTTTAGGTATACATATAGGCCTAGATTTCAAATGTTGGGTTTGCTTCAGTGAGTTACACCTGGACAAAGGCTAATGTCTCTGGGACTGAACTGGCTCATCTAAGAATGTTTGTTTGGGGGTTTCTTCTTTTTGCTCTATACCTGTAGGAGAGCTGAGGAGGCAAAAGTTACTTAGGCTCATCTCCAGTGAGTGAGAAATGCAGGTGAAAGTTCAAAATACAACTGCCAGTAGGATGTAACTACTACACCATGTGCCCCAGAAGGCATTTGTCATTCTAATGCCCCACAGGAATTTTTTGTCCTTAGGTTGTTTCTCCTTATAAAACCACAAAAAGACAACATTTCCTTTTATAGCACATTCTTCTTTTCTCAAATTTTATGTCAACAAATATGTGAAATATATATACTTTGGAAACCCAGTTATAAAGTATACTGAGATGTATCATAAATTTGAAGTCAAATAATGCCAGCTTTAGGGCAATGGACTTTTTTTTCTAAAGACAGCTTAGTATCACCAGCTGTTTATGCATCGTCTGGCACAGGGAAATTTTAGAATCTCATATAATGAAGATGAGAATAATAGCACAGGGTTTTCAGTCGAGTAGAAGTAGCATAATATTGGGAAACAATCTCTGAGAATTTAAAGCCATAGCAAACTAACAATGACAGCTTAATTGAAGTTGGTAATATTTTTAAAAATATTTTTATAGATTTCAGAGAGGAAGGGAGAGGAAGAGAGAGATAGAAACATCAGTGATGAGAGGGAATCATTGATTGGCTGCCTCCTGCATGTTGGACCAAGCTCGCAACCCAGGCATGTGCCTCCGATCAGAATCAAACCCGGGACCCTTTAGTCCGCAGGCATACGCTCTATCCACTGAGCCAAACTGGTCAGGGCTGAAGTTGGTAATTTAATGGCAATTGCTACTGATCAACTCTATATTCTGGATTTCCTGTTTGGTGTAGGCAATGATTTAAGTTATCCCAGAATGTGGAGGAATCTTTTGATTAGCAAGGTTTGGAATTTTCTCTTAAATCAATTTCTTATAATCATAAAATTTATCTGAACTAAGGAATATTAAAATTTTTATGAAATAGAATTTTCTGTTAAATATCTACTTCTTATCTCACTAAGTTGGCATGCTTTATCCAGAATCCCACATGAGACGTTTTTGGACGTGGTTGTATCCTTTCCTGCAGGTTAAAAACATTGTCATTAAAATTTGCGAGTAGTTATTTTTTGTTTCATATTTGAGGAAACCTTTAAAGGGACTAGATATATGAAAATATAGAAAAATAAACATTCAGAAATGACTTGTGAATGCTCGAGTGAGTGCTGGTTTAAGTCAAAAACTTTGGATGAGACATTTGGTAGGCTCCTGACTCATTCTCATTGGAAAGTAAAGCTCTTGTTTGCCCTCACTGTATTCCCTTCTCCACCTCTGTTTGGAAACATCTTCCTCAGAAGGCAGGCAGGAGGAGAACGTGGATGGGAACCAAGAGTCAGATGGAGCTGCAGAGCGATGCTGCAAGGCAGACGTTGTCAAACACAGTCACTGCTATGCCAAATGGAAGGAGAGAAAATCCCCTGGAGAAACCCAGCTTTGAACATGAATTAGACAGAATCCCCGGCATTGTTTTCTAGAATAAGCCATGCATGGAGAGGAGAGAGAAATAGCAGGCAAAAGTTCAAAGGGGAACGGCAGGGGGGAGGAAAAAAAACACTGGGGGAATAAAACATGCCCCCAGTGTTTTATTCCACATAGGTCATGGAGATGGAAACTTCCTTACCTGAGTGAAGTGAATGAAGCTGAAGAACCTATAGAGGGAAAGTGATGCAGGGAAAACAGTATTTTCCTAGCAAATCCAGCCAAGGATCTGCTCTTGAGGAGAAAAGGAGGTTTCAAAAAACTTGAATTATTTGTGCAATCTATTATATGGAGCCACATAAAATTACCTCTATTAAATCATTTTTTTCCTACAAAATGGCAATTTTATGTGGCTCAATGTAGTAGATACATATTGTTTAATTCAACAACTTTGGGACCACTGTACTATTTCACTGGATAGTTTGTTAGGTTGTCATTTTATGACTAGAACTAAACTTAAGAAACCTGAAAGATTGTCTGTCTGTCTGTCTGTCTATCTACCTATCACCTATCTGTGAGGGTTTCCCAAGGCTGCCGTACTAAGTTACCACAACTGACTTAAAACAACAGAAATTTATTCTCTTACAGTTCCAAAGGCTAGAAGTCTAAAATCAAAGTGTCAGCATGGCTGGTTTTGCTAGGGCTCTGAGGGAGAATCTGTCCCATGCCTCTCTCCTTGCTCCTGGTGACAGCCAGCCATTGCTTGGTGTTCCTTGTTGTAGATGCATCACTCTACTTGCTGCCTCCTTGTCACATGGCCATCTTCTCCCTGCATGTCTGCACATCATCTTTCCCCTGTGCAAGTCTGTGTCCAAATATCCTTCTTCTTTGTAAGGACACCAGTCTTACTGGATTAAGGGCCCACCCTACTCCAGTATGACCTCATCTTAAATTGACTACTTATATCTACAACAACCCAATTTCAAAATAAGGTCACATTCTGAAGTACTAGGGGGACTTCAACAAATCATTTTGCGGGGAGGGCACAATTCCTCCCATAATACTATCTAAGAAGTGCAATGAAAGTTTCCTGTCTCTTTTACAGTTAATTATTTGATAACAACAATAATCCTCTTTCCCAGGATTTATTTAAGTACTTTTTCAGGACAGTTACCCACATTTTATTTTGTGGTAGTATTAAGTACCTTTCTCATAGCTTAATATTTTATAAAGAATTCAGTTTACATTGGCAAAAAGAGACTTATTTCCCTAAAAACACCCTGATCATCATTGAGAATACATTAGGCACTCATATATTTGTGTGGTAGACAAATACTCTAATTTATCCCTAGGAAGACAGACTAAAGCACCAGCTCTTATGGAGAAATTCATATCCCATTGTTGGTCAGGTACAGGACATAGTTAATACTGATAATGAACATGACTTATCATGTTCAGACCATTGGGTATTTTAGCTAATAAAATATCCCTGTGGGAAATTAACATGTAATTATAATACAGATATTTTTATTACCATATATTTTATAAATGGATATAATACCATATATTTAGAAAACTATAATTCAGAGAAATTGACTGTATTGAAAAACATACCAACCAAAAGAGAGAGCGACAGATAAACAGACAGCCAGAGAGACAGAGACAATATGGGAGGAGGGTAGAGATAGAGAAAGACAGAAAATATAACAAAAACCATTATTGAATTTAGGACAGTATGTTAGTGTCCATGATGGTATTTCAACATTGCAGCATATATGAAAATTCTCATAACAGAAAGTTTGAGAAAGACATAGCTTCAACATTGAGATCCTGTTCTATATAACTTTTAACATTACTTTCAACATTTGGAAAGCATTTCCAGATCTTGCAGCTTCTGAATGTTATAGTAAGTATTGGTGATTCTCTATTATAGGTGTATTTTAGTGCCAGAAAATAGAAAATGATAGTTGACCCAACTTTTTCTGTACTGAAAAAACCTGGATGTGTTCAGAAAAAATGTTATCTTGTCTTATTGCAACTTTAATGAGGATAAGGGTTAGAGAGAGAAAAACTAATTGAGTGGCTGTTTTAGGTGGGTATTTATAACTTTTTTCCACTTTGGATTAGTGATTCTTGTACTGAAGAAGTCAAATCACTAGGAGTGGCATCGATACTCTCTCCTCTTTGGCAAAGGTGGCCTATTTTGTACCTTTTATTTTGAAATAGTTACAGGCTCACAGGCAGTGCCATTTACTCCTGAATACCTCATCCTATATAATAAAGAGGTGATGTGCAAATTGACCATCACACCCTCACACAAGATGGCCACCCCCATGTTGTCAAAGATGGCCACCCCCATATGGTCACAAGATGGCCACCACAAGATGGCTGGCAGGGGAGGGCAGTTGTGGGCGATCAGGCCAGTAGGTGGGGGGAGGGCAACTGGGGGGGACCAGGCCTACAGGGGAGGGCAGTTAGGGGTGACCGGGCTGGCAGGGGAGGGCAGTTGGGGAATATCAGACCAGCAGGGGAGCAGTTAGGCGTTGATCAGGCAGGCAGGCGAGTGGTTGGGAGCCAGCAGTCCCAGATTGTGAGAGGGATGTCCACAGGGATCTGTCCTAAACCAGCAGGCTGGGCTGAGGGACACCCCCCAACCCCAGTGCACAAATTTCGTGCACCATGCCTCTAGTTTGCACATAAGAACAAATTGGTTTGCAGGTGTGGTGGAACTTACTATGACTTTGTAAAACAAGAATCAAGTATGAAGGAAAGAAGGCAATTTTTTCCCTTTATGCATGAGCCCTTTGTCATCCCATTTGATGTGATATTTAGAAGAAATTTAGTTAGAGTTGAAAGATTTACTAAGCTACTTCTTCAGGTTAATGACTTTGGGGTATTAAAGGAATCTGACAGACACAGCTAGTAGGACAACCAGTGATTTACAAGATGGAACCTTTTAACTGATGTTGCAAGACTGAATATGCTGATCTTAAAAACTGCACAAAAGGGAGTGTGTGCTAAAATTGAAGACATTAAGCACCTGGAACCTTCAGCCTGGACCGAATTTTGCTGAGTAAAATGGAATCTCAACTTTTGAAGATTGACATGGTGATAAGGAGCCACTATTTCAGGGACGA